CGGTGTGACAATGTGGGCTCAACTCATCTGGCTCAGGATAATGAGTCCACTGAACACTACAGCGTACATTGCAGTTCCATACAAGAGAGGAAACTATCTAGGCGACTACCAGCTTTCCAGAAAGCACTCTGCTCCACGTTCACATATCATAAATTGTTTCAAATAAATCTTGTACATCTTAGTGAGATCTACTTACGTGTTTCAAACTATCTCTCACGTGACGATCCGCTTTCTTTTTAGAGGAAATCCATCAAGTTCGATCTAAGCGCCATGTGCTGATGGTACTGAATCGATACAAACCAAAATAAAACTCGTCTGAACAACCTTCCTACATACGCCCACAATACCAAGACGCTGAAACGCATTCGGTGGTTTGGGAGATGCAATGTGTTACATTCCTGCACTCTATGCAAAGGATACATAAAGCTCATTCTGCCCTCCTAAATACGCTAAATACTCCTGGGACAGCAACCAGAGTTATTAATCTAATTCTAATCACGTATACCAGTCCCTACAACGCCCTTCTCACACCATTTGCAGAAATGAGTGAAACTATTACTGGCTTTCAGTCTTCCACTTGTCGCCACACAGCCAAGAGTCTATATAGCTTACTATAGTCTATAACTGGACGTATCCACGCAGTCTGTGGTGAACAATTTGAGAGGTATACTCGCTGACAGACCCATTTCCAACAGCACATCCATGCACGCACACATTGGATTCACTATCTTGCAGAAAATCTAATTCAATGAAGCCTTCCTTCAGATGTTAACGGCAGCTTAGGTGATAAAGAAATTTCTCCTCCCCCTTTACATAACCCAAGGTTCATCGTCGCGTTCAATAAAAACCGTTAATGGTTCCTGCCGTGAGTCAATGGCATCCAGCACATCTCTTTACAACCTACTTCAACACTGTAATACGTATATAATACTTCCGCTTAAAACTAGGTCTCCCAACTGGACTCTTCCCTTGGTGTTTTCTGGCGAATATTGTGCATGAACTGTCCCATATCATTCACACATCTACATATCCCGTCAATTTCATCCTCCTCGGTTTAATTATCCTAACAACATAAAGTATGTAAGATTTGAGGTTTTCTTCAACATAAGTATGATTCAATCAGGAAATACAGGCTTGTGTATTATTAGAAATATTTTACTGGCCCGTTCCTCTAATAACTAAGTTCAAAATTCTACCGTGGTTTATACGTTCGTTAATTCAACATTCTTACTACAGAATGGACAACGAACAATAACAATCATATTGCGAGCTCCAGCGGTTCCAAATATTTTGCAGTTGGTAAGTTTGAGTAGCAGCCTTAAAGTAGATAGCCCATGTCCTTCAAATTTTTGTTCAACAGATATACATAAGGTGAAACCATAAGTAACTCGTCTCAAATGACACCCAACTTCACAGGTACTTTTGAATCTACAAGACGGACTGCGTTGCATAGTAGGTCAATGCGGTTACGCGAAATATTAACCCTTCGACTGCCACGCCCTGCCCAAAGAACATTTTGTATAAAAGCCACGGCTATTAGTGGATAATGGCAGCTACACAGAAAACCCCATAATACTTCTTCATATTACTTTCAAACAGCCACAAGAAAAGGCAACATGAAAGCGCGTTTCTCCTCTAAACACTGTCGTTATCACTTGAGGCCATCTAATGACAGAAATACTGTACCAAATGATAAATATCGAGCCGATCTCGTCACCTCTGGCAGTTTTAATGCAAGAGCGGAGAGCCGATCTAATCAGCCCGTAGTATGCAAAAGGTTAAAGAGGTCGCTGCATTACGTTGTGATAGCATTTCCTAGATTGTATCTGTGGTAATGCCATATCTCTACCGTTGCTGTACACTGTGGCTCCTACAAAGATGAGGAAGGTGGACATGGGAGTGATCATGTTGTTCACAGTTCAGAGCACTCGGGAAATGACGTTTCAGCATATTCTTCCGACAACTGCTATAAGTTATCTGCATGTGGAAATAATGTTAGCCAAGTGCACAACAAGTTTCCGTCCACTTTGGTATCTGACAGCCACTATCTCGACTGCAATTCATATGAACAGATTATATGCAACAAAATACTCGTCTTATTAAACGTTAACGACTTTTTCATCAGACATGTTTCGGTTTAGCGAATATTTATCAAAAAATACTGTGGGAACTGCCCACATTCAAGCAAGTCTGACAACGCAAGCGTCATTGCTTAGCAACGACGAGTAAACAACGGTTGCTAGGCAGAAGCAAGTAAACAGCGGTTGCTAGGGAACTTATAAACACAGTAACCGGCAATAGCAGTACCTATTACGCAACCGTTTTCTATATGTCCGATTCTAGGCTACATAAGAAGATACACTGAGTAACAGTGAGAGTCTAGCTCTACCGTTCTACAATACCAGTTCAGTGTTCAAGCAGTTCACTATTGTTGTTATCCATCTGTGTATACTGTGCAGCTGCAATAAATCCTATAGGACAAATCCTATTTGAAACTGCACCTTGCCTCATAAAATATAGTAGCACAGTAGACCACAGGTAAAAGCCAATAATGATAATGATAGTTCAATTCTTTATTCATTTACATGCTGAGCTCCACAGCCAGCTGGAATGCAAACAAAAGCAGCGATAAAACAAGCACAAGGACAAGCCCCCCCTTCAAAAAATCATTTAAGGTTGTTTATATATAAACATGAGTTTCTAAAAGTATCTGTACATTTACAGACTGTATTACCAGAAGGACAATGGCTGCAGGAGCATCTAACCATACAAAAGGTAAACACGTTCCAAATAAGAACACGAATGCTAACTATTCCTAGGACAGATGAGCAAAATTTGACGTCATTATAAACATTTATTGAAAATAAAACATCAGAGTGGCCACGTCTGACGAGCACTCTGCAAATTTAATTTCTCCAATAAGTTACCACAGTGATATTCGACTTAAAAAGAATCTACTGTAGCAAAGGGCCACAAATTTTCGTTGTATGTGCTCAAGTTTACTGGAGTCAGCAGCAGAAGCGTACTCAGGTTTAGATCTGAACAAAGCATAATACAGGATCAGTAGACTGTCTACAGCAGAAAAGGAAAATATAACTATGAATAAACTCTTTTAATTTCTGTAAAGTATAGTAAAAGTAAAGGTATCCCTGTAACAGGCCTTGGAGGCCCATAGCGTTATGAGATGTTGAGGTTCCCACATTTTCTAGACAATCGGCTCATAGATGGTGGCAAGGTTGTAAGCCTTACGCGCCGGCCGCGCTTTACCCCCAAGAACATTCCAAGAATATTCCTGGTACTCATTTCTGTTAGAGGCTGAGTCGACCCCAGGGCCATAGTGGGGATAGAAGGCTTAGGTAAATTGAAAAAAAATCCACCTCAACGGGATTCGATCCCGCGACCTTCCGGCTTGTAGCATAGTGCCTCAACCAAGTACGCTACCGTGTATATATACCCAAATCCTTACTACAAGTTTTCATTATATGTATAAGAGAATTTACAAATCTACACTGATAATTCAGCATGACTATTTTCCTCATAAAAGAGAGCACTCTAATTTTACCAAAGTTACATACATACAACATCTAGACACACAAAGATAGCATTAAGGGCAGAATCATATTAAGAAACATGTATTATACATTGCAGAAACGGCCGCAATACAAAAGGTAGGAAGCTAACATCCTAAGTCATCAAAATTAATGACAACAATGTGCCTTAAGAGTACTACTGACCAAGTGCACAGTGCAGTAGACTCCTTTAAAAGATCTGTTGCCTGATGATGGGCCTATGCGGCTGAAACATGTAGCACAAACAATGAATGTGCATATATTTTAATGACATTTTAAACATTTAACGAACATTTAGTGAATTAAATTTGATTTCGTGTCGTTTAAAATTGTTGCATTATAGATGGAAAACAAGACTAAAAATCTGGCTGTAAAAGTTAATCATCATTTTGTAAATTTATAGCTCTACAGATTTTAAGATTATCAACAAAAAGATGAAAGTTGGAGTGATTAATTACACTACATAAATCGTTAAAAAATATATTAAAAGCAAAGGCCTTAAAACTGACCCTTAAGATATGCCTCACTGCACAACAAAAGGTGACATAAGAACAGGACAGAAACATGTACACAAGACTGTCTGTTAGTTAAACAACTGAGAAACAACTGAGTAACCTGAAGATTATCCACAATTATTATGTTTTGGAAGCAGCAGTATATGTAACGTAATGTTGGAAGCATTACTAAAATCAAAATTGAGTCACTTTTGACTTTATGAACAGAAAAAAGGGATAACAAAATCGAGAAATGTGACTAAACTGGTAACACATTAAAACAATGATGGGGAGAGTTTGATGTTTTAAAAGGTGAGAAATTCGGTCATGTATGATAAATTTAAATACCCTGAAAAAAATTATTAAGAAGAGCTATGGGTCTATAATTAGTAACAGAAGAACTTTTGCCATTTTTGAAAGGTTGGACTGCTTACTTCCACAAGTTAGATAAAGTATTCTGTTGGACTGCTTACTTCCACAAGTTAGATAAAGTATTCTGAGACTGGCTAATTCAAAAAATAAACCAGAGAACGGTACAGACATTTCAGAACAACCCTTCATAACAAATCTCGGTATACTATGCAGGCTTGACTGATTTCGATGGTCACAGCAGTTTCACATCATTTTAAACACTGGAGATAGAAATGGGAGCTAGAGATAAAACTTCTGTACATTGATAGCGAGAAGAAAAAGTTCCTAAACAAATGTGCTTCGAAAAACTTCCATTAGGTTTATCAAGATGTATTAAATCAATATTTTTCCCCTAAATGTTGATACATACTTGCAAGATTGCTTACGGTGAAATTCTAAATCTCTGTCACTGGATCTGAACCAAGGAAACCTGATGATCATGGTGATGATAATTTATTTTCTTAACATTATAGTAGCAAAAAACGTCTTTTAAATCGTACGTGAAAAAAAAAAAAAGGAAACATACTGTTTACTTTCCAATTCCATAATGGCCTTCACAGAAAAGTATTACATCAACTGCAAAACATGGAGTATAAGTTAGTAAGAAGTTCTGCACTACGTTACTTCATCATAATATTAAATACCGGAAGTCTCCAGCTATTGGTCTGACACGTGTACACACTGATGGAAACACATAAGCATAGTGCATAAGTTTCATATGGCCCAAATTATTGATCAGATACTTGGAGTTCATAACTGTTCATTAAACTGCACTGTTCACCGCTGCACCGAGCGACACGAAGTTAATCAGCGAACTTTTCTCATTTGGTGAATCCTATACTTCCAAACTGTTATCCCCTACTCACAAATATAACCACGGTTATTACACGATAGCTTCTATCACAGACTTTTTTACCACAACATATTAATTTCACAACAAAACAAGCGACGTTGTTACGACAAGAACTCCAAGCTTGTTTTATGCCGCACAACGTTAGTAACTAATTCCATGTTATTCCAATTTATGCACATTTTCTTCACTGCACTGTGTAGCAAACACAACAAAACAGCGCTGGTACTTCGTGCGATTTATTCGGAGTTGGCGCTCCGCCTGCAACTACAGCATTACGTAACACACTGCGACTTTGGACTCCGTTCCTTTCGTCCGTATCCTTGCACTCTGTAATGTCGTTTGCTAGAACATTTCTATTCGAAACTAACACAGTCATAATGTATCAGTTCTCCAGTAACTTCCTGTTTCCAATAAAGTATATTACACTCGACCTTCCAACAGTTGTTTGCATTTTAACTTCTCGTCGTCTGCTAATACGACCTTCAATTCAGGCAAGAAGTGTGTATATGAAACGCTTCAAAAAATGTTAAAACAGTGTTGACGTAAAACTGTCCCTTTGAAAAATAATTGGTTTTTATGCGCAACACAAATTAGGTCACAGTACTTGGTATATAAGTTATGTTAATAACTAGCTAATAGAAAAAAAAAAACATTATTTCAAGTATCCTTCAGTTCTTCGAGTGCCTGCTTACTATATACTTTACAAACACATAATACATTCGCAACATTGAGGAGGTATTCAATTACGGTTGTTTTTTAACTTTCCAAAAACCAAGGCCTTATTTGCCATAAATATGTCCTTTAGTCTCAACAGTTCATTTCAGAAAATGTCCTTGAGCCTCAAATACAACAGATCCCAGATACCAAGAGGTTATCTGTATATTGAAAAACAGCAAGACCTGGATCACTATGAGGCATTTGGTTTTCTAATAAATGTGAAAGGTCCAAACCTTGATGCTGATGATAATAGAAAACTTACACATTGGTTGAAGTAGTTCATGATGATCACAAAGCCATTTAAGACTGTGTGTACCTTGGACCCGAGCTACAATGACTAGGGAACAGAAATGTAATCAAGTAAATATTTGAAATCCAAACCAGGAATGGAAATGATTAATCTTTTTGATACATTCACATACGAACTACCGCTATACCGAAGCTCTTAGAAAAGTCTGATTTCAACTACATTCATGGTCCTTGCATGGAATACACTGTTTTCTTGATTCCATTTCCTTATCTCGTAACCAGTAGCTCGGTCAATGTACCTACTCGGGTGTACAATTTGGGATAATGGTATTTCCACTAAATTACAAATATATTGGCCTTACTTAAATATGCCAAATATTTGAGGGATCATATTTAAAATCAGCTGGGGATACTAACAAGAGTATCCTTGTAAGATTTGAGGTTTTCACGGCGGTGACTATAAAGAAAGCAGTCTTCTGGGATTTGGCACCGTGCATATGTGGTGTTAACCGACGTTTCGGAGGAACGTATCGCATCCATCTTCAGGGTAGAAGGAAAAATATAAGAAATCCGCAAGCGAAGAGACCTGATTTCTTATATTTTTCCTTCTACCCTGAAGATGAAGGCGGTACGTTCCTCCGAAACGTCGGTTAACACCACATATACAGAGTGCCAAACCCCAGAAGACTGCTTTATTCAAGAGTATCCTTTGCTTGCACAATTTCTGTAACAGCAAATTTCACTTCGCATGATGTGTTCAATCAAAATTCTGCATTATTCAACCAAATATACGAAAAAAAAAATGTCTTCGTCTATTACTTCACATGAGCTAATAAGGTGTTACATCATCAAGACATCTACTGGTCTACAAATTAAATTCTCCATCTAAATCACAAACAGCCTAAGCGAAACTAACCTTTCTTTGAAAGAGAGCAACTTGACTCACTCTCCTTATTTCCATTCTGAATATCATTTCTCACCGCATTATTAATTCCGTTTTCTGTTGCAGTATCTCCTTGAGCACCAAGACCCATACTCACATCAAGCACGACTTTCTCAGACTGCACGTGTGTTAGGAATCACAATTCTAAATGAATCTGATTGGTTAGTTGAAGGATACGTAGCCGGAGACAATTTATATTTAACTTCCCATAATTGCAACAATAAAGTTCTATCATATTTTCTACAGAGTCGCTTGTTACGTGAAAACTTCTTTTCCTTCTTATACCTCCTTATATTATTTTATACAAGAAAAGAGACAAACTCCAACATCCATATAGAACTTCCGGTACGTCGACCACGGATACTGTAGGAACCAGTGGAAACGCTCTACAATCGTATGGCGCTGCTAAGCTGCTAAGTGTAGTACTGTGCGTGGGGAAATCAATTGGTTTAACTTGATGCCACCAGATGGCACCTTGCTTACATAGGAGCTTATAAATGGCCCGGATGAGGATTTTCGTTTACAATTACTTTTCAAATTAAAAAAAAAAATCTGTGAAATATGTACCGTAATTTTGATTTCAGGCGCGTTCAGTCTCAGGGACAATGAAATTTGAAATCACAGAATAAGGATGGCAAAATTTAATTACCTCCCATACCGAAACAATTCATACTCAAGCATTCACCCACATACTTCACATCAGCCAAAATTATGAATAACAAACAGTAGTTCATATTATTACGTGTTCTTCGAACAACGGCCATGGAAAGAAAGCACATGCTGATCGCATGCCTGCCCATCTGTTCATCCTCATGCTTCAAGTCAGGACCTGCTGGACTGACTCTGATTAAATATGTATTAATGCAACAGTATGGGGTCACCCTGTAACTCATATTTGTTTCATTTCCTACAGTATATAAAAATAACACTTCGGACACACGAACTTCTTGGGGGGGGGTCGCTAGCGCCACAATCGAAATGATGCTATCACTGTACCCATCTGAAGCATGGTAAGCATAACAACAATAGCATCATTCTGACACCTTCCCTACACATGTGCATAGCATCTGGCTGTTTTTATCTGAAACCTCAACACTTCCAAATTGATATCTCCACCATGGCTTCAATTTAATTTATGTATGGCTGTATGAATCAATTACTGTTATGGTTCAATGCATTCAAGTTCAATGTGCGGCTTTGCAGAGACGGAACTCTGTGATTTAGACTGAAAGTGGACACTGAGCACTCTGAGACTGGAATTCTCACGATTCACTATTGCAGATGTCTCTTCCAGATACCACAAGTGTATGGCATAGCTGCAGAAACTCCTAGTGCAGCAGTTCTCAGGAAAAAGTTTCCTGTGATCACAACCGAAAAGTTACATTTTCTGTAGCAACATAAGTTAAGACATGCAGGTTTTACATGTAAAACATAGCCTGCAAAGAAGACTTTTATTAATTTAAATTTTAATGTAAACCATGATGAATATGTGATTACTTTAATTTACAGCAGCTTACTAAATGGGAGCATGCTCACTGGATGTTCATCCACAGCTAATCAAAGAAGATTTATGTCCATCATTCTGTCACAGTACTTGCTGTCTAAGAAATAAAGGTGAATGGTTACAGCCAAGTAACACAGGTGCACCATATCCACATGAAAATAGTCAAAGAAATTACAAAGAAAATTCATCTCAATACTGAAAAAATGTCTTAAACAAAAAAAGAAATCTTATTGGTCATGAAAACAGCTGGTGGCCATAAGAGAAATTACTGGTGGCTGCATGTGGCCATGGTGGATGAACTTGGAAAGTTGTTGCCCTAGGGGATCCGTTACTATAATAAAATGATAACGGACCATGTTGACTGAATAGTATTGAAAAGGTTTCTGAACAAAAGAATTGCTAGATTCTCACTACAATCAAAACACTGCTATTCAGTGACCACTCTTCAACAAAAAAATTATCAAAAAAATTACAAACTTTAATATTATAATGTGAACAGGTACACAAGCAAGGTTTAAAATCAGTGGCCACCATACCGAGTGGACCCAGTTGGACTCCACCACCCACTAAGCGAATTTAAAAAAATATTTAAAAGGTTACAGCAAAATAATAAAAATTACAGCATTAATGTCAGAACAACTGTCAACATAAAAATACTTTCAATGAAAACTTGAAAACAAATTACAAATTCTGAACTACAAAAATACTGGCTACATCTTGACAGTTTCATAACAATGAAAATATTACCACAAGGCCATAAACCATTCTATCAAATCTACAAACTGTGGAATTTAAATACTGCATCCCATGAATGAGGGTATATACTTTACAATACCTTATATGAATAACACACATTACAAAGTCACTAGGCTACAAACACATACACACAAATCAGAGTATGGCACAACTTTGCTTTTCACAGCACACACACAGACTAGTTCCAAGAACATCATCCAGATGGTATAGTTACAACTTTCTTGTTCACAATATGCCCAAAGAAGTCTGAACAACCATATATAGCTCTCTGACACACAGTAGTTCAACCCTGTAAAAGGTATGCTGCACTACAAATGTACTATGATTACAAGAGGGGCAATATACAATATACAAATTTCTCCATGATATGTATACAGCTGCCATCTTGTAGTGCACTCAATTTCACCTGTTACTTCATGACATGTTTCGGCAACATAGTGCCATCATCAGGTGCCCTAATTACGCTATCTATTTCATTGCTTGCCTTTATAAAATTATTTAAATAGCATTTAAAAAGTGCATATTTGTCAACTATAATAAATTTACACACACTAAAACTTGTTAAGATTATTCATCCTATGTGTCATAATTAAAACCCGCGTGTTGTTCTCCCGCTATGGGGGTCGTTTTTCTTATATTCTGTGTAAACCGTGTCTTGTGGTGTGTGTTCCCTTCTTAGCTATGAGTGTTGTGCACCTGATGATGGCACTATGTTGCCGAAACATGTCGTGAAGTAACAGGTGAAATTAAGTGAACTACAAGATGGCAACTGCATACATATCATGGATGAAAATCAGGGCAACAGGACGCTAAAATACAACATTACAAATTTCTCAATAAAGTAGATGAATAAGAGCAACTTAATTCAGTTCCTACTGCATAATGATTTTTTAAAACCTTGGAAAATCTTAATTAAACACTAGTCATACAAACCCCTATACTGAAACAGGAAAAAATGACAACAGATTTTTCAAGAATTAAGTTCACAATGCTAATGAGAACCATTAAATACCCCAAAACATTTTTTTAATTACCAAATTTGTGATTTTGTGTCAGTTGTTACCAATAATCTCAAAGCAATAAAATAACAGTTTCACCTGGATGCAGATAGTTCTCATTTTACTAAACAGTGCTGATACTTTAAGGCATTGGTAAATTACATATGCCCTGAAGCTGCATATTACTGGAGGTGATCAAAGATCCTGTACATATTAGTGATAAGCCAGGAAATAAATCAAGCCTAGATAATTTACAAAACAAAATCTCCTACTGTAAGCTGTAAAATATATACAAAAAATGATGTGATAATATTCATCATATGGGCATTCATTCAGGCCAGGAGGCAACTCTGGTGACCAACTGTAGATGTAGGACTCAAAAGCAATTAGCCTCATAAAAAGGATGAGAGTCTTACATTTACCAGGTTCTAAATTTGTTTCCTTGATGCATACTATGGATTTCATAATGCATAAAAACACAAAGGAATATGTCCATGATTTATTTCAACCGTCTTCCAGTGCATACACTCATCTATCTCCTCCTCTCTCTCGCACTACATGTTTCGGCACAAAAGTGCCATCTTCAGGTGCTTATTCGATTCACGCCAAACTAGTTCATTGCATGCCCCGTCGTCCTCATATTAAAATAACTAAAATATATATTTATTATATTGTGACATGTCGACCCCTACCTCCCCAGCGGCACGTAGCGGTAACGTAGCGCTCGCGTAATAGGCGAGTCATCACCCCGCAACTCTCCCCGCGGTGACGTCACGAGCGGAGCCGAAGTTAGCCGAGTCCCTGCATCCTGGTAGCTATGCAACGCGCAACACGCGGTGACGCCACGGTGACGTGGAACCGCTTCCTACTGTGACGTGGCACGCAACAGGCACCACTGCGGCTATATAAGGGAACTGCACAGCAGCTACCAGTCAGCTGTAACGTAATAGTCGCCGAGTTGTAATGTAACAGTCGCCGAGTCAAGTTGGAGTATAGCAGCCATTGCGGAAAGAAGAACCGGACGTGTGTGTGATACAGTGATATATAGCTCCCCTACTGTAAACGTGTAGACTACTGAAGGCAGAGTGAACTGATTTGCACATAGGGTTATAAATCGTGAAACCCCGCAACAGTGTTAACAGATTAATGCAATTAGGGTTATAAAGTATGAAACCCCGCAACTGTGTGATAAGTAATTGTAGCCGTTACTTGTAGATTGTTAAATAAACCAATTAACCATCTCTACGGCGTCTTCAGTAACGAAACACGTTACAATATATATCGATAAATGTTAAATTATGTATTATGTAAATTATGTAAATGTATATATCGATATATATGATAAATATATATTTTAGTTATTTTAATATGAGGATGACGGGGCATGCAATGAACTAGTTGGGCGTGAATCGAATAAGCACCTGAAGATGGCACTTTTGTGCCGAAACAAGTAGTGCGAGAGAGAGGAGGAGATAGATCAGTATATGCACTGGAAGACGGTTGAAATAAATCATGGACTTAAATCAGTGCAACAGGACGCTAAAATATAACATTACAAAGGAATATACTAACCCAAACAAAGAATTTAATGTACAAAAGCTGAATTCAAAGGAAAACACTGACAGAAAGGAAACGAGTGCACTGAACAGCTGCCACAGCTTCAGTACGTGAAAGGGGAGAAAAGAATAGGACAGCATAAGAATACATGTGACCTGTGCACATTCCATAATATTTTACAGACAGTGCACGAAGGACATACACGTAGATTTAACCAATGTACGGAGAAATCTGAACAGGAAACAAATTCAATGAACTAATGGAAAAAAAAGACTTCTGATGTTTGCATGTTTGTTGCCTGTAGCAGTATATTTATAAATGACATATAAAGAACTTCACAGGCACTCTAGAAAATCACTTCTAGGCTTTCTAGTACACCGTGGAAGAACTTGAAATTACTGCATAAGGGCATCAGTGTTTTTTAAGGCCACTTGGATGCAAGAAGCATGGAGAATGTTATGGTTCACATGCCAGTTGGGGCAAAACAGCATAGGTATACTCATTTTTTGCAAAAGGAAACATAAAAGTGAACAAGGACATTGCCCCACAGTTGCTATGATTGCTTCATATGATGCCTTTCATAAAGAATTCATGTAGTTATCTGATGGGACAAGAGCATACCAGTATAAGTGTTTATTGGAATGTTTCACCAACATTAGTGTATTAATCAACTGCCATCTGTTAAAAGCCTATTAGATTCAGATCACAAAAATATTGTGTTCCACCTTATGCCTTTATTTCCCATTAAAATTAAACTTTAAATGATGAACAAAACTCGGGATAATAACTCTTCAGTATCAAAAACGTGTCAGATCACTTCTGACTTGAGCTCTCATAGCAGACAATTCTCTGTGATTTCAAACTTGAAACTGGAAACATTCTTAAATGCCAAATCTAACCAAACCAACCAAGAAGCACCATTCATGTTTATGCACAGCTTGAAAGCACACCCCCCCACCCAGTAATAAATTAGAATAGAGCTATTCAAACCTCTCCTCACGTAAGTGCCTTATCTGTCATTCTGATGTTAAATTGGTCCATGGGCACCAAAGCGAAAGTATTCAAAGGAAGTCTAAAACTACAGAGTTGACACTAAGGAATGCCTGCATCACACTTATTCACTCATGATTTTAATGAAATCAAAGAAACTAATTTACCAGAAGCACCCAAGGCAACTAGATGATACAACAACTCCAAACTTCCTTGAAAAAGCATGATGTCTTGCTGTTCCATCTTCCAACACTGGCTCACTCAGATACATTTTGTGCAGACACAATGACTAGTCACTGCAACAGGTTTTCCTTGCACTGCTGCTTAAGACCCCAATCTGTTGAGCTAAACGACATGTTTTCTTGCATTTCTTGTTACTGCCTCCCATGCTGCTCCAACAACTACAAACACATGTGCTACATTCGGATATTAATCACACAAACTTCCTGTTTCTTAAAACTGTTTAATAATTCAGCAGACATTGTCTCAATTGTGCAGCATGAATGGGAACTATCAACGACAGTTGAACCACCAGCAGAGTAAAAGCTTTCAACAGCAAACACTTTCTGATCCATCATATATGACGCTATTTTACTGCATAGCGCAGTACTGCCGATGGCAACAAATTTCCCAAGTGTGGAGAACAATCCGTGAAAACTTCATACAGTTGCATTCAATAACAAAGAAATTACAAAATTTCGAAGTGTCACATAACAAGAAAACACCCTATATATGTCTGCAATTATTCTTAAAGCAGTGGACATGCAAAAAACATTAAAAATATACTCTGTTACAAATAGAATAAAAGATATCCCAAGATTTGAGCACCTTAAATTTGATTATGCTTACATTCCTTTTGCACCATTCATGCAAACACCCAATGGCTCCACCAGAGAATCACTGGTTTTGAACCCCCTTAAATTACCCCTTCGGTCTTAAATGTAGAGTCTTTCCATGGTCATTTCCATGTGGAAACAAACAACAGTCTCTTAAACTCAGCAGCAGACTTATAGATATGCCCAGCAACTGCAGGAGTAAAGCCCCATGCAGCTGAGAGGCTCCAAGTTCCAAATCTAACAAGAAAAAAATTTGAACTTTGAGTTGAGATTTAAGAAACAGAAATTAATTAACTGTTAACACTTATCATTTCATTGCCACCACAGAAAATGTTTATGGTCTGATTGCAAGTGTATACTATATACATCCAAACCATCATTTCAGTCTTTAGTGTTTTGCACTGTTTCCACAAGACCAGTTAAACTATCTCCAATGTTAAATATATTATGTCTTCAAAGAGCACTGACTTCTGCTTTGGTCACTTCCAGATTAAAACAACATCTGGATCTCTCTCCACTTGGTCTTCAAATTGCTGATTGCTTAATCCATGTGCACAACAAATTTCATCAACAGACTGCAAACCTGTAAAACTGTGATGTAAGGAATCTTTAGCAATCCCTTTACTGTCTTCAGATAAGTGCACAGGGTACTGCAAGGAACAAAAGCAAATGATAAGTTCTGAAGATCTGAAAATTAAATTAACCTTTACTGGCTGAATGGGAAATCCCTTTCCAGCAATATGTAGCTGTAATCAAATATGCATGCATGATGTCATGATATTATTAAAAAATGTTAACCTTAAAAATGCAAATTTTACACCATGTATAACTTGAATGTTTCTCTAGATATCAAAGACTGTGATAGATTTGACTGCAGTGTTCATTTTAAGGAGCGAGAGTAGCAACTGTCTTTAAAATTTTTACAGCTTTCTTCAAGAAACTGTTCTTACTTTGATATTCCATAATATATCAAAATGAGACAGAAATATCTAAAGAAAGCTTGAAAAATTGCTCTTCTTAGCTCATCAACCCTTTCACACCCCATTGAACTCAGTACTTCATCCACAAATTGTTACTGAAAAATATCAATACAATAACAACAATGATCTTATTACATTATAACTACTTAGAGAAGGCTGCAGTAAACACAACACAGCAGTCCAACACATTTACTTGAGCACAGGATGGTACACATGCTTACGCAGTTCAAACAGCTTGGATCATGTCACCATGTGCTCAACAGTGTGCATTAGTACCGAAAACAATGGTAATGAAACACACACACACAAGTCATACATACTGAGAGACAGTGACAATGCAGTGATGTTGTGAACTGGTAGTCAATTACATCTGTGGAAAAAGTATTTCATAATCTAGATACTGGCCTACCATTCTTCTGACAGACAAACCTCAAAATTATATTCTGGTAAAGTACTGCACACCGGTCACGGTAGCCGAGCGGTCTGAGGCATGCACTGTCTTCGCTCGCTTGGAAACTGGGATCGTGGGTTCGAATCCCACTCAGGGCATGGATGTTTAGTTTGTGTGTGTGCGTTTTTCTGTGTTTGTGTACAGGTATAGGCCTTGCGACGAGCTGATCACCCGCCCAAGGACTCCTACCAAATGTGTAAGATCTAGAAAAACCAAAGTGAACGGAGAAGTTCATGGAGATAGGCCACTGGGGCTGTAGTGCTGGGGGGGGGGAGTACTGCACAGTCAAACCAGAGAAGTGATTTGGAAAGTTTACATGTTCATTTAAAAAGAGATGCAGCTTCAGAAACTGAACTATCTCAAGAAAGTTCAGAAACAAAAGAGAATACATTGAACATGTTGATATGAGTCTTAAGCATTGCATCCACCAAAACCTATACCAATGTCATGAGTTAGCACTCCAAAGATTAAACCTAGATGAATGGTAAAGCCTCAACTAAACGACTTTACAAATGTGTATTAAGGCACATGATTCATGAGTTGTACTGAATAGACAAGGAGAGGCCAACCACTAAAAGGCAAAATGCCGCACAAAAAGCTGAACAAGGTAACTGGATATAGTTGTCTGCAAGAGACTGTATGGATAACAGTACTGAGACTAGGATTTCACTGGAAAAAAAAATCAGCTAAATACTGAACTGTTTTAGTTGAACATGATGATGTGCACATTCTGTAAACTGAATATCTATACAGTCACTACAGGACAGAGGGCAGCCAGCTGATCACCTACACTGATAATACCTACATCCACACCTTTCACAAAAAAGCAAACAAGTGATAACAGTGAGCAAGGACTCCTCAGGCCAGTATCAACAAGACAGAAGGCAATGACAGCTCATGTTGGTGAACAGCAAGGTTCCATTAAGGATCATTCCTCATACTTAAATCACAGAAGAAGTCAGATGATTTTCATGATGATATGAACTGTGCAAACTTTACAAAATGGACCAGAGAAAAGCTTATATCAAATCCAGCCATCACACTGTGTCTGTTTCATGGAAAATGTCTCCTAACTTAATAAGAACCTTCAACCACCTGCTGTTATCCAACACTAGATAATCAGACATGCAAGCATGGCTAGTGCAGCCAAATATACCATTCATTGCTAGCCTCTTGCATCCTGACCTTTACAATCTCATCAATAACATATGCCACATCATCCCACAAATCATATCGATGAGGTGTTAGCTTGGCAGGGACATTCCGTCCTTCACTTACCACCACATTACCTTGACTTGAACCCAAAACAGCTCATTTGGGCCACCATTAAGGACTGAATAGTAGTGAATAACACAACACTGAAGTTGGAAGATGTGACACATCTCACAAAGGAAGGGTCTGCTTCAATCGCCCTGGAAAACTGATCCTCCTGATGCCATTGCATTGTCAAGGCTGGAGCCAAATACTCCAAATCAAAGCAACTAGAGAGATTCACCATCACTCCCAACAACAGCAGCGATGCCATTGACACAAACAAGGACACCAGCACTGGCAGGCTAAGCGAAACACTGCCAGCTGTCACTGATGAAGATGATGATGCTGATGGTGTGCATCACGATATTTATGTACTGGCTATTTCCAATTTGAATTTGTTTGGTATTTTACATAATTTGTGACTGCATATGTATGTGCGCACATGGTAGTGCGGTCCATGTGTGACACTACATCCCCTAACAGGCCTGAGGTCAAAATAATTATGAATGACAGTACTTTGCCAGAACCCCTTTCTCTCTACCTGACATGTTTCTCCTTCATACATTTCCTTCCCCTTTCCCCTCTGTGCACATCATCCACTGTCCCTGAACAGTTGTACTGTACTTACGAGGGGGTACCCAAAAGAAACCGAACTTATTTTTTTTAAACTTATTTATTCAAATTTTAAGCACAAACCTTCAATCCCCTTCAAAGTACTCTCCACTTACACTAATACACTTGTCTAGTCTTTTATTCCATTTTTCAAAACATTGTCTAAATTCATCTTTTGAGATGCTTGACAGCGCCTCCGTCATTTTTTCCTACACCTCAGCAACATCAGCAAAACGCTTTCCTTTCATGTCTCTTTTCATTCGAGGAAACAAAAAAAAGTTTTGATCATTTCGGGACTCTACTTTCAAAGCACAGCATGCTTCCACGCAACCTTGTTCTTGTTCAGCAGTCACCAGTCGCGGCACAAATTTCGCAGCCACCGTTTTCATTCCCAAATCTTCTGTCAAAATTCACTGAACTGAGCTCCAAGTCACTCACGACACCTCCACAATTTCTTCAATGGTCCGTCGTCGATCTTCCTTGATGATTTCACGAATTTTTTCAACATTTTCATGTGTTCGGGCCGTGGAAGGACGACCAGAACGAGGTTTGTCATCAATTGACATTTCACCATTTTTGAAACGGGAAAACCACTCAAACACTTGAGTTTTCCCCATAGCATCGTCCTTGTACGCCGTTTTTAACATTTCAAGAGTTTCTGTTCCACTTTTCCCGAGCAAAAAGCAGAATTTCACCGCCGCACGCTGTTCACGAAAATCAGCCATTGCAAAAACGACGATCACACAAAACAGTTGTCACTATAAACTCTGCCGAAACTAGTCCTTACCTTCTGAAGCAACGGTAGTCGGCTTATCGACTCAGGAATGTTAGCTCTATGCGCTCATAGCGGCAAAACGCGGTACTACAAAAGCTCTGCCCACAAAAAAATTAGTTCGGTTTCTTTTGGGTACCCCATCGTATGTTTGTGTATTCTGCTCTTTCCAATGTTGTGCTGAACTGTGTTTAGAAATGCAATTTTGTGGTGTGGAGCTTCAAGCAAGGATTACTACACTACCCCACACTGCACTGGACATTTGAAATGTTCTAACATAAAAGGTCCAGGAGGCGGAAATAAGCCATTTCATTAATTTCCAGGTCTGACTGCTAACTGGGCAACTGTGGTCAATATTCCATGTGTCTGTTGTGTTCTTGTACTATAGTTTGTTTCTGAATGTTTCCATTCTCACCACAAGATTTACTACTGCTGAAAAACTATGCAATTAATTCATAAATTTCTGCCTTTGTCGAGTACAGCTACGTCAGTGAATGGTACCACTCTGGTAATAACCTTGATGAAATCCTGTCATGACTGTTGGTATCCTGGCCAAGATTCTAATCGGCATCTTCCAAATACAAGGTAGATGTGATATTGCTTTATTGTGTTACTTTAGCTTTGTCTCTTGCATCAACAGCTAAATACAGTGTAGTTCAGTACAGTCTACTAATCCAGTGTCAAGTTCCCTATTTCTGTCACTGCAATTCCCCATTCAGGTCAAGGCCATGCAGTGAACACTGGCCAATGAATCACATGTGATACAAATCTTCCAAATGAAACAAGACACTAAAGACTGGAATGGCATAAACTACTGCCAACTCTGCCAACAAACTTACATAATAATAAGAATATGCCTGTCACATAACTTGCCTTGTATATTCTGCGTATCAAGCCATTAAGCAACCCAAACTGAACCAACTTCCTTTCATTGATCCTCAAAGGATGAGGGTTGAGTCGAACACAGAGGTCCCTGACTGTGGTTCCGTAAGTCATGCTCGAGTACATTCGGAATACATCTCGTAGTGCTGGGGGCTGTCGGACTGCAAAGAAGTGAAAGTTTGACATAAAAAATAAATAAAAATTGAAGTTAGCTGCTTTCAGATATTCATCACAAAATAATTGTCCTTGTTACTGCCATCAGGTGGCGAATATTAAAATGTGATATATGACACAAACTCCGTCCTAAGTGCAACAATTTATTGTACTTCTTTCGTCTTCTTTTCTTCTACACTACATGTTTCGGCCATAAATGGCCATCATCAGGTGTATACTCTCACATAGCTGCTACACTGCAGGTAGTTTAAAATTTAAAAACACTAGTCTTCCAAATTGTTCGTTTCTCCTTTACTAACAGGTTTCGATATATCAGAATCCTCACCGCTAGTTTTTAAAAAATCAAATTCATGTGTGTAGGTTAACAAAGATTTTATACATATCTGACAGATATCAGTGCACCCACGTTTCATCGGTGGTCACTACAGACTTCAAAAATGCATCACCTTCATCTTAAAACTGCTGTAGGAGATGACTGGCAGCACCATTTTGTTCATGTCCGTCAAAGTGCATGGTACCCACCATGCATTCACCTTGCGATAGTGCAGGTGGTATTTCACAATGTCTTCTACACTACCAACACTGATGGACAGCATTGCTCCAAGTTCCTTGATAGTGATGCGCCTATTCTCACGAATAAGTGTGTCTGCACGATCAATGTTTGGCTCGGTGACGGATGTTCGTGGCCGACAATCATGCGGTTCATTCTCCACGTGCTCTCTGCCTTCTCTGAAGCACTTACACCACTCAAATACACAGGTCCGTGAGAGTCACTCTTCCCCATACTGTTGTTGGAGTCTGTGGTGAATTTCAGCAGACGGGATGTTTTCTCAAACAAGGACTTTGATCACAATGCATTGTTCCATGCTCCGTGGTACCTTCTGTTCACTCATCACTCTAGCAACTCCAAGAGAGGACTGAACAGGTTCTAAACTGAACAGGAGGGAGGGTGGCTTTTGTGGCTTCACGCTCTCAAGGTCGCACAGCTGCTGCACGGTGCGGCTTGTTTACACACAAATCAGTCCCAGTCATATTTGAACCACCTTGTACATAAATGCATACTGAGAAAGTTGAGTCTGCCTGTACATTTCATCTAAAAATTACTTGGCAGATTCAACAAAATCAGATAATCAGGTGAGGGAAGGGGAGTACATTGAAAGTCATCACAGTAAATTCAGTTTTGGTACGTACTGGTCCAATATAACTCACATTTTACATGAAGCCCATATTAGACTTCAACTCTTTTATTTTAAATGCATTAGTGTAAATGGAGCAATACCTGACTTGGAGACATACTTGATACACCTCTGTTGTAACTCCTTATTTTCTGCCAACATCCTCAGTTTTGGTGTTGCTGCATATACATTGGAATATTGGAAGATAGGAAGCAAGGAAACAACTCCATAATATCTGAAACCAAAGTAATAAGAAATCTGTTTCATATTTTATTTGGCAAATGCTTTCCAAGCCAGACGAGCTTAATGTCAAACAGTAGTATGACTGAAGAATGGGGAAGGAAGTAGCTGTGTCCTACATTAAGCTAACTAATACTTGCTTAGAGGAACTGATAAAACCTACAAAAACCCTTCCAAAATAAACAGCCTATAGCCTAACACTGAACCCAGTGCATCCTAAATAAACATAAATGAAATATCTGGGATCAAAGTCAGGCCACCATAATTACAAGTCATTTCTTTTACTGCTAGTGGGGTGGGACTAAGTCCCTTGTACTGCAGCCACTTCTGGCCTATTGTACCGGCCCCAGATGATAGGTGAGGGTGATTGTGGGGCAATTGGTGGAATGAAGATTGGCAGGGGAAACCGAAGTACTCGGAGAAGACCTGCCCCCAGCGCCACTTTGTCCACCACAAATACCACTTGACCAGACAAAGGATCGAACCTGGACCGCCACGATGGGAAACCAGCAACTAACCACCTGAGCTATGGCGTGGCCCTAGAAGTCATTTACTGACCATCTGAGCTATGGCATGGTCTTCACAGCAT